TCTGTTTGACATGAATTTCTAAGTATTATGGGTCAGCAACTCTACTTAGTATAAGGGTCATAGGAAAATGAGTGGTAGGCACAGTTTGGCCCATTGATTGGCCTTTTTTCTTTCTAGGTAAGCAGGATCTAAATAACATGGTGTGAGACTTTTTCTCTCAGATAAAATATTTTTGCATTTATATATTGATTATGCAGGTATGCATGCACATGACACAGCACACATGTGGAGGTCAGAGAACAATTTGTAGGACCCAGTTCTTTTCTTCCACCATGTGTGTCCTGGGGTTTGAACTAAGGTCATCAGCCTTGGCAGCAAGCTCATTTACTCATTGGCCAGATGTGAGGGTTTTTTGTTTTGTTTGGTTTGGTTTGGTTTGGTTTTTCGAGACAGGGTTTCTCTGTGTAGCTTTGCACCTTTCCTGGAACTCACTTGGTAGCCCAGGCTGGCCTCGAACTCACAGAGATCCGCCTGCCTCTGCCTCCCAAGTGCTGGGATTAAAGGCATGTGCCGCCACCACCACTGCCCGGCCAGATGTGAGGTTTTTAGAAAACTAATGTAGTCCTCCATTGTCCCTGTTCTTGACTTTGCGTGTACTGTAGCCACCGGTGCTGGCTACCCATGTGGTCCCCAGAGGTATCTGGTTTTTCAAACCTACCACTGTACATATTGAATTTGCCTTTGGACAAATACTAAGGTCACACTCTATGTTTGGCACTGTAGGATATGTAAAGATAACTGACAAGACCTTTTATTCATTTATTGATTCAACCAGTGTCCTTTGGGCATCTGCCATTTGCCAGATACTAAGGATACAACCCAAGTCCCTGTTGGAAAGGCAGATAATAAACCACAGCAAAGGTGTGATAGATGTGACGATCAGAGATATCCAAAGGTCTTCAGGAATGCAACAATAGCTTATGTCAACAGCATCTCCTGTCTCCACAAGTATCTTGAGGCATCAGAATGGTGACTCAAATAATGAAATACTACATGACACAAGGAAGTCACTGCACCTGCCACTAATGTTTACCAGAGTCTGGTGCTCATCAGATCAAAAGGTGTGAAAGAAGACTGGGAAGGAGGGAAGGACCTGCCCTTGGAGTCTACTCTTGGCGACAGTGATGGGACAGGCTAATTCTAAGTAGAGAAACTCTAAGCATAAACAGGAAGCAAAATCTGCTTTGCTGGGAGCTCGTGGCAATCACAATAGCTGCCATGTGAGCAGTAGGTATTCTTACCTCAATTCATACATAATTGCCTGAATGCTCGGAAAATTTTTCTGAGGTTTTTATTATTTTGCTTTTATTTTGAGACATGGACTTACTGTATTTCCCAAGCTGGTCTTGAACTCCCTCGGCCTTAGTCTCTCAAGCTGCTGGGACTACAGACAAGTGCCACCACCATACCTGGTTTATGCTATATTAGCACCCCATTAGAAACAGCATTAATTGCTTTCATCACTGCTATGATAATAATACCAGATTAAACAATTTAAGGAAAGTAGGGTTTGTTTTGGCTCCCACTCTGAGGCGTGGTGTGGTGGAAAACATGATGGCAGGTGCATGTAGGAAGGCTGGTCACATTGCCAGCACAGTCAGGATGAAGAAAGAAGTGGAAATTACTGCTCAGCAATTGTCTCCTTTTCATCCAGTCCAGGGCCTCAGACCATGGAATAATACTTCCCACGTCTAGAGTGGGTCTCCCCATCTCAGTTAACCTAACCAAGAAAACCTCTTACAGAAATCCCAAGAGGATCATCTATTCAGTGATCCTAGACCCTGTCAAGTTTGCAATCAATATTAGTTGTCATGGGAAGTTAGTAAGATGCTTAGAACCCACAATTTGCCCAAAGCAAACTATGGTGATTTTAATGAGAATGTCCCTGTAGGCTCATTTGTTTGAATGCTTGGTCTCTAACTGGTAGACTGTTTAGGAAGGATTAGGAGGTGTGGTCTTGTTGGAGGAGGTATGTCCCTGGGAGTGGGGCTTTGAGGTTTCAAATGCCCAAGCCAGGCCCAGTCTCTTTCTCTCTCTGCCTAGTGCTTGTGGATCATGATGTAAGCTCTCAGCTACTGCTCCAGCACCATGCCTGCCTGCCTGCCTGCCACCATGCTCCCCACCATAATGATAATGGACTAACCCTCTGGAACTATAAGCAAGCCCCCAATTAAATGCTTTCCTTTGTCTTGGTCATGGTGTCCCTTCACAGCAATAGAACAGTAACTAAGACATCAACCAACCAAAAATTGCAGAGCTAAGAATGGAAGTGGGTCTGCAAACTCCAGAATACCAAACACCCTCCCATGGCAGGAGTCCCCTGGGGGTTTTATGACTTCCCTTCTGCTTGCTCCTACTGCCCTGGAAAAGTTGTCTGACCCGTAAACATCACATATGCCGCTCCAGCACAAAGTGAGTGAAAAGAATCCCTCCCTCTCTTTCCTAAGCCCCAGCTCCTAACTTCTCCAAAGCTTTGTAAGTTCCAGTGGGTGTAATTAGCAGACCTGCCTGTCACGGTGAGCAGTGAAGTTACTTTTCTTCAGTATTTGATGCCAAGTGAAAGCTTGGCTGAAAGGCTGACTGGTAAATGCCTCTCTGGGGAGAAAGAGCTGTAAGATAGCCCAGATCTATTGGCAGATACTAGAGCAAAAGAAAAAAAAGTCCTTAGAAATTCTGGCTGGAGGGGTGGGGGGCGTTCAGGTAGCACATAACTAATGTAGTAAATGCCTCAGTGAACCTTGACAATAGCAATTTGAAAAAAAAATTCCTGTATGCTTAGTTTTGTTTCATAAACCCCTTCAGCAAGGGGGTGAATAAAGAGTTCTTGCCTTGCTTTGTAGCCAGTAAATATTCAGAGAGCAACGCATTGTCAGTTCCTCTGAGACTGACAATGTCAACTTGTGGGATAAGCAGTTGCCTGGGACTGAGGTTCAGGGTGGTCACTTCTGATACTGGTGCGAGGTATGTGCCTTCTTGGGAGGCTATAAAGCAGGGTTGTAAGTGCCCAACCCTAATATACTGGTCATTCTTTAACAAGAAGAGAGAGATTTATCTGACCCATGAAGGATATTCACCAATACCCAGTGGGAAAGGGGCATATTTCAGAGAGCCCATTCAACATGATAATGTTCTTGGAGGTTTGAACTATTGCAATCAGTTGCTGGGTAAGGTTGACTACATTAAAAAAAAATGCCTAGAGGCCATCTATTTGGGCGCAGGACATTGGGAGAGGATATAAGTTAGGGAGGAGGGGCAGTTATAGAAGGGAAATAGACACTAATAGGCTGGTGGTCCTGAGTTCTATAAGAAAGCAGGCTGAGCAAGCCATGAGAGGCAAGCCAGTAAGTAGTACCCCACCAATGGCTTCTGCATCAGCTTCTGCCTCCAGTAGAACAGGTTCCTGCCCTGTATAAGTTCCTGCCCTGAATTTCTTCAGAAACTTACTACAATGTAGAAGAGTTAGCCAAATAAATCCTTTCTTCCCCAAGCTTCTGTTTGTAATGCTATTTCCTCATAGCAATGGTAATCCTAACCAAGACAGAGTCCAAGCTCGGCAGCGTGCGTTCAAGACTCGGCACACTCTGGCCCTGGCCCTTCTCTCTCGTCCTTCCGCACTCCTTCCCTGAACTCATCTACACAGAATTCACACCGGCACCAGACAGCCCCCATCTCCGCTCCTACTTCTCTCACTGAGTCAAACCACTCAGTTCACCAGCAAAGCCATCCTGTTCTCGTCTTCTCCCTGCCCCCCGCCCCCATCTAGGGAAGACATTAAATCATCTCCTGGGGTCAAAATTAGATCTAATTCCCACCAATAAGCTTTGGCAGCTCTGCCACCCAAGCCAAGAACTCCTTCCCTGCCTCCCTCTGTGTTCTTCACTGTCTACATTAGCAGTATTTCTATGCATGACTGTCTCCCCCATTAGACTGATAGCTCTCTGGGGAAAAGGCTTTCTCATCCCCATCTGCTCCTCTTCTCCACCCTAACTACTCCCTCCTGCCAGCCTCCCCCAGCCCTGGCATCTGAGTGCAGGGCATGCTACCCAACAGACACCCTAGCAAAGCTCGTTGAATAGAATCCATTAATTCTGCCGCGTGTCTTTAGAACTAGCTGTTGGAGTCCTCGGGGCTGAGAGCGAACATTTCAGCTAACGCGATGTTGGAGGAGAACCTCTGCTTTTGTGGCCGCTTCCGTGTGAGGAACATTGTGCTCCTTTCCTTCCCCCCTGCCTCTGCTCACCTCTTAATTAACTGAAGGGTGCAGGCGAAAGCAGCTGCCAGCTTTTTCCTACGGCTTTCATACTTCCAGTCAATTCTGTCTTCCCCATCAGTGCTGTCAATACCTTCAACGAGACGACTCGCCTTTCCAGTTAAGGTTCATGGGTCCTGGGATCAGACTGTCTGGGTTTTTAATAGTCGGTGTGCTTAAGGGGCACTTGGAGTGATGTAGTTTCTCTTTCTGAACCTGTTTCCTTGACTGTGAAATGATGACTGAAGGCCAGGTTGGGGAGGGTGGGGACTCAGCTGGTAAGTACCAAGACCTGAGTTCAAACCCCAGAATTCATATTTTGTTTTTTTAAAGGCATAGTGGCATACGCTTACCACGCCAGCTCTGGGGAAGCAGAGATAAATAAATCTTGAGGCTTAGTGACCAGCCAGTCTGCTGAGAAAGCATGACACACATAAATAAATAAATAAATAAATAAATAAATAAATAAATAAATAAATAAATAAATAAATAAATAAATGGATAAATAAATAAAGTAGAAGGTCCCTGGAGAAAGACACCTTGATTGGCCTCTGACCTCCATATGCACCTGCATGTACCCCCACCCCCCACCCACATACATGTACACTTGCGCACATACACCCAATTGATACTACTCGTTTGTATTGTTTACATGTGGTTTGATATGTAGGGGGATGTGCACATGCCATAACATACATATGTGTGGAGACAGAGGAAAAACTTTACAGCTCTTACCTTCAATATGTAAGTTCTGGGGATTGAACGCAAGTCATCAGGCTTCTGCAGCAAATGCCTTTACCCACTGAGCCATCTCAGCAGCCAAATGCTACCCACTCCAGAGAGAGAGATATTCCATGGGTCTGTTTAGTGAGCAGGGTACCCTGGGATTATAAACCACAGCACCATGGAAATCAGGACATTTGCACATATTGCAAAGTTCCCCGCTGTCTCCTTTCAGTCTCGGTTGGTTATAAACTGCATGGGAAGATGTATGCTCCCCTGTGTGCCCCTGGCTCCCCAAACCACAGGAGGACCATAAGAAGCTTTGTGAAGCCGAGCCTAGCTCTGGAATTCTGCAGCAGCCAAAGACTGCAGCCTTTTCATCAGGGTCTGGTGGAGAACTAATGATTTCCAGCCCCACAGACCTGCCCAGAAAAGGGCTTGTAGAGGGTGGCTGGGAGAGCATTCTTTATTCCCAACATGCTCCCGCCACCCCCACATACACACCCACAGTCTCCTGGGCTCCTGTGCGTCTCTCTCTGCTTCTCATTGCCTGGGTCGTGTCTGAGCCACGGCTAGGATTTGTCTGTGCTCTCAGGGGTGTGAAAGGTGATCCACAGAAATAAATTGCATTGTGTTTTAGGTCTGTGGCAGTCTGCCTTTGTAATTGTCTCGGTAAGGGACTTCATAACAGCTTGAGGGCCTTCATGTCGGAGGCAGGGACTCTGTGGCTTCCAGATAGATAAACACTGCAGTCAAGTGCACATTCGGCTGAGGGAGTTGCAAAGTGGAGGTGAGGATGGAGCGACTGATTCTGTGAACCAAGTACATTCCCCAGCCCTTTATCAACAACAGCTTGATAGAAACCAATCAAAGGACGAAAGGAGGCTGTTCTTGTTTGTTTTTAATAACGGCTGGAAAACCAAGGCTTGTTTAAGCCAGCCTCTGCCAACATCTTCAGCTCCTACCAGCCCTGTGCTTAGATGAAAGGGGAAGTTCAAAGGGCCACTCAGGAAGAAGGAGGCACATGGGGGAGGCAAGAAGGGACCCAGAGGGGTGCAGTGAGAGGCTAATGCAAGGATCTGCAGGGAGCCTGAAGCCTGGAGTATTAGCTGCTTGTGCTGTTAAAAGGTGAGGACCACTGGTGCAGAGGGAAATTGCTGTTGTGGGTGTGGTACTGGTGGGATACAGGCTGACAGGAAAGTCAGGAGATGGCAAGCTAGTTTTCCCAAGAGGAAGGTTCATTAATAGTAGAGAGTCAGGGCCATAGACATCCCCTAAGACCATGACCTAGAAATAGCCCTATCCCCCTGACATCTGGGCATGCATACATATGTGCGTTTACAGAGACCAGAGGCCAGCTTCATCTGTGAATACATCCACCTTTCTGTTTTTTTCTTTTTTTTCCTTTTTTTTTTTTTCTTTTTTTAGTTTTTCGAGACAGGATTTCTCTGTGTAGCTTTGCGCCTTTCCTGGAACTCACTTGGTAGCCCAGGCTGGCCTTGAACTCACAAAGATCCGCCTGCCTCTGCCTCCCGAGTGCTGTGATTAAAGGTGTGTGCCACCACCGCCCGGCTTCTATTTCTCTTTTTTTCCAGGCAAGATCTCATAGTTACCCTAGGCTGGTCTTGAACTCATATGCAGCCAGCATTGGACCTGAATTCTTGATCTTCCTGACTCTGCTTCCCAAGAGTTAGAATATGGTTTCAAACTTGCTAGCACATCACACCATATTTGCCATTGTTGTGCATTCACTTACATACTCCTTTAAATAAAATTGTATCTTAAGTTTATTTAGAAAATGAAATGTACCAAGAAGTAGAAAAGCTAGTTCCACTTACCAGTAATAGATGGGAACCATGAAATATAACAAACCACATCACACCGTCTACCATAGTAGTCAGAATTCTGAGTCTGTCTCTTGTTCCTGTTTATTTTCTCTAAAATAAAGAAAGCAATGGGCTCTCAAAGGGGTTGAAGGGACAAAAATGTTTGCTGCCAAGTCTGAGGACCTGAGTTCAATCCCCAAGATTCACATAATAGAAGGAGAGATCCTAGTTCCCACCTCTAAGCACCACAATGAGGCTGTTTGGATGTGAGATGTCCCCCCAAAAGCTCATGTGCTTGAACATCAGGTGCCCAGCTACAGGTGCTATTTGGGGGAAATTGTGGAACCTTTTGGACACAGAACTTGGTTGCCAGAAGATAGGGTCAGAGGGACAGGATAAGAGGCATACAGACGGGTCCCACCCCCTCCCTCTCTGTTTCCAAGTCAGCCTCAGAGGTGAGCAAGCTGCTACATGCTCCTGCTACCACCCAGAGGAGCCACTCTTACCACCATGCTTACAGCCACTAAACTTTCCCTGCCCTGAACAATAAGCAAAATAAATTCCCCCTTCCGCTAAACTGCCTTTGTCGTGTGTTTTGCTCAAAGCATAAGACAAGGACCTGGAAAACATTCTCCTTCCTTAATATACTCTGCCTCTCTACACCCTGTCTCCTTAATCCCCGGTGTTTTCATCTGACATAGTATGACTTTATATCAGTATTAGCAAACATTTCCTTCATTTTTCCACATCCAGAGGCAGCTTCACCTCCCTAGACTCATCTAGAAACACACATTTATGCTGAAAAGTCCGTTTTTCCCTCCTGAACTCCCACTAGACCTCACACACTTTCTGTCTTTTGTGGTCACTCTTGAGACCACCTTAAAGTCTGAAAGTCTCTTGTGAGTAAGATGGAAGGACCTCCTGGCATGCCAGCTGATGTGCCAGGAAATCAATGTATCATTTTATTCATTCATAATTTCAACTTTGTAAGGTGCGTCTTCTTAGCCACGTTACGGAATCTCATAAATCAGTGTTAAACTGTTTGAAATGCAGCACAAATACCTCTATATTTTTCTACATTTTTAAATGCAGCCAATATCTCCATATTTTTCCAAAATACCTAGCATGTCACCCTTGTTCATCATTAATGCTGATTTCTCTAAGTGAGTGTGTCTCAGTACATTTCTGATGCTGTAACAAAATACCACAGACTACATAAATTATAAACAATGATAGTGTATTTCAGGTAGGAAGTCCAAAGGCATGGCAATAACATTTAGCAGGGGCTTTCACACTGAGTTATCCCATGGTAGAGGGTAGAAGGCAAGCAAGATGAAGTTGGTCAGACTTACCCAGTACTTTAGTCATGGCATTAACCGACTCACAATCATAGCTAATCACCTCCTAGTGTCATCACTATGTCAATTAAATCTCTGTAGGAGTGTTGGAGGGGATATTCACATCATAACAGCAATATCATCCAGTCCTCATTCAAGACCAAAAACATGTCACCAAAGTGCCAGGCAAATGCAGAGAGCTGAGCTCATTCATTTTGTGCTTAACCACAAGCATCAACTCAATTCCTCTTATTGGTTTCTTTTCATCTCAGCCTGATCCATCCCTCTGAGCCACCCTGTCCTTCCTTCCTGGAAATAAGCCTTGGACTTGGAAGTCCTCCACCAGCTTTCAGCCAAAGTGACTCTTCCAGGTTCTCAGAAAAATCACAAACTCAAGAGATAGAACCTCCAGAAGTCAAACCCATGTCTCTCCACACTCTTCACCATGTATCTGCGGAGAAGCATGCAAACATGATTCTTGGGCATTGCTAAATGCCCACAGAATCAGCCTGGACCTTTGGAAGAAATTTCAGAGGACCTGGAGTCATCACACAGTGATCATGGACCTACTCTAGATATCATGAGTGGCATCCCATGGGGATGGCTTGACAGTGGCTAAGAGTACATAACAAGGCACCCATTTGTCTTGGGGAGAGATCTCCACTTTGTTGAGAGTAGAGTCTGAACACCTGGAGATGAGTCCATGTTTCACATCCATGAATTACAGAAAATGAGCAGGAGCAGAAAGGGAGACAGTGTTCAGTCTTTGCTCTGCTGCTGCTCATTATGAAACATCAGGCAACAGTTCTACTTTCTAAGGTTTGCTTATGAATACACCTTCCCTCAGTCTGTCAGGGGGCTGCCTTGTTCTTTTTAATAATGAATATTTCTCTTGCTCACTCGCTAAATTATATGATCCCCTTATAATGATTAAGATGAAGAATGCTATAATCAGGAAGACATGCATTGCAGCCACGATTCTACCATCTTCTAGTTCTGTGATAATAATGTCTCATTAGGTTGATATGAAAATTAAGCAGATATAAGCAGTTAGCATAGAGTGTGTATTACATTACCTCTAAATTCTTCCAATATGTTTAGCATGGCACCTTGTTCTTCATTAGAGCCGATTTCTCTAATTTCCTATCTCAGTCCATTCCTGATGCTATAATAAAATACCAGAGACTAGGTAAATTATAAACAATGAAAGTGTATTTAGCTCATGGCTCTGGGGGGCAGAAGGTTCAAAGACATGACACTATCACCTAACAAGTGATATTCATTCATCTGAGAATAAATTTAGACAAACCTAAGGTAGGATCTCTGGAAGATGCCAAGTTTAGAGGGAAGCAGTGTGGGAAAGGTGGCTAGTTAGATGGAAGAGACCTAGAAGGGGTTCGGAGTATAAGGCTACAGCTATGTGACCAACCAATATGTATAATGACAAGGGAGAAAAAATGGAAAAAAATATTGCTGAAAGAGTGTCCTCTTAGAGCAGAAGGAGAAAAGGGATAGTACATTGGAAAGGGCACAGTATGAGAGTCTGGTGGCTCTCATTCTACACTCAAGGCTGCTAGGAACTGCCTCTGGGACTTGCACTATTCTGACTGCTATTTGTCTGTCACCTGTGTTCACAAAGAAGTATGGGTGTCTGTTCAACCATCCCTGGCTCTTCTGTGTAGACATCAGTGTAGACAAATTTCTAAACAGTCTTAGTAAATAAGAAACACAGAGCCAAATACAGAGGGAATAGCCAAAGAGATCAGAGAGTCACGACTATCTCATCTTACCATCCCGCCACTGTTGCTTCCCCAGAGAGAGTGGTGGGGTGGTAAGATGAGGTAGTCGTGGCTCTTGGATCTCTTTGGCTATTCCCTCTGTATTTGGCTCTGTGTTTCTTATTTACTAAGACTGTTTAGAAATTTGTCTACACATCAGGAGTTCTGAGTGGACTCCAGATCTATTGGGACCCATTCCTGCTCCAACATGGGAGACTTTATTGACAACAGCAAGAGAAGAAGAGTCATGAGGAGGGGCCTTCAGAAGAGCATTCATCTTGGAGATGGGTCATAGGTTCAGGGTCCTCACTGACCACAGAGTCTAAAGGTTTCGAGGTTAAGGAAAGATTCATTGTAATAGTTGATAATAACTGGCTTCCATAAGATGTAGGAAAATAAGATTTATTTAAAGTGGTTGAGGAGTGAGTGTGTTTTATACTCAATGATAGTTGAGTTGTTAAGTAAGATGTATATGGACTGTTCTTATGTTGGAGGGAAGATAAAGTAACTGTAAGATGCTGTGGCAGTCTGACATGCAGACAGAGTTATATTCTGCTGAAGACCATAACTTCCTGTCCATTTCAGACTCAGCAAAAGAGACTTGTAAAGACTATGTCAGAGAGACACCAAGCTGTTCCATCTGATCTAGTCCTGGATTGGTCTATGGCTTCAGAGATGTAGGAGTTACAAGCACACTAAGCTTAGTATGCAGGGGTTGGCAAACTTTCTCTAAGGGCCACATAGCAAATATTTTAGGTTCTGAGAGCCATGCCATCTTTGTCATAAGTACTGAAGTTCACTGTTGGGGACTGCAAGGAGCCCCAGACAAATAGGCATGGCTGTGCTCCAGTTAAATTTTATGTACAAGCCCAGGCATCTTGGATTTGCCACCTCACCATAATCTGCTCACACTTGTTTCATGTGTGATGACTATCAGCAAATGTGTCCTCATCACTGTCCTCAGCAATGTCCAATTCTATTGGTAACTCCTCCCTATTGTGGAAGGCTGTGATGATAAAAGATATATGTCCACGTAGGTGATGGAGTCCTGTACTCTTGAAAATGCATCTCCAGGTGACAATGCTCTCAGTTACTAAACTTAGTCAGCAGAGACTGAGGACAAATTTGTAGAGCATTAGACTCTTAAATTGGCATACACCGAAGAGCTACCAAGGTAGAAGCAACTTTTGACTTCCTCTAATTAGGAAGGGTTAATGAAAATCAGCCCCTTAGCTAGACAGATAATTGCTAGGGTACCACTGAAGAGACAGAAATGTCAAGTGGGCAGGAGGCACAGGCCACCTTGTCATAACTAACTAGAATGTACACTGTGATTTTCATTTAACAAGTACTTTGTTAGCTTCCTTGTCAGAAGATGCAAAGGAAGTCTTTTCTTATACATTCTGCTTTAGTGGAGGGACCCAGTGATTATTATGGGTCATCGGCACCTTGGTTGAAATTTAATGAGAGCATAAACAAAGACGAGACACTTGTAACACAGCTCAGAGACTCAAACAGAAGGTCCAGTGGAGCTTTAATACTGCTCCAAATGGCTAAGCTGAGAACTGTGGAAGAGTGAAGGGATATCTTCAGAAAGCGGCTGTCACATTGTGCCCAACCCAGGAGGAGGTGGACAGCAGAATGAAGCAGAGAGGGATGGCTCTTGGAAACTCTGAACCAGGTGCCAAGGCATAGGGTACAGGTTATACACTGAGTGGAGATCTGACATAATTGCCACTGAAGTCCCTTTATTTTGCTTTATTTTTTAATCTTTTCTCCACTCTAACAATTTCACACACATACACATTAATCATATATGTCCCCTACCCCCTGTAACTGCCAGACACCCCCTACATATTGCATCTCTCTTCCATCTCCATGACTTCCTGTCTCTTCCCCCCTCTTTTTGTAACCCACCAGGTCCCATTAGTGCTGCCTGCTGGAGTGTTGCTTTGATGCTGTGCAGGCAACCAAAGATTCAGTGAGTCCACGAGGGCAACATCCATGTCATGTCTGGAGCATGTCACAACCCTTGCCTCCATCCTCTGGCTCTGAGATTCCCTCATCTCCCTTTCCCCCCAATGCTCCCTGAGTCATGAGAGAAGGATACATAGATGGTCCATTTAGGGCTGAGTAAAACCCCTTCAAAATACAAATTTTCTGTCATTTTGAAATCTTCTATGACTCATTTTGTTGGAGCATTGTCTTTTGGCAAATACCCTTTTTATTTATTTCTAGCCTTTTGTCAACAATGGCACATATAACTTGTCTGGAGATGTTACTCTTTGAGTGCTCTGCACCCTCTTAGAAACCTCAACAGGACCTTGGACTGTGGCTGAGTTCATTCTTCAGCTCCACAGAGGCCATTATATTAGACCACAGATGTCAGATACACAGGGAAGAACAGCTTTGTAGCAACAGCCCACAAATGACTTTGTGAGTCCTGGATCATTCTAGAATGCCTCCACTTGGAATTTTTTATCTCATTTGAGGCAGGTCTTGCTATGTAGCCCTGACTTGGCTGTGTGTGTGTGTGTGTGTGTGTGTGTGTGTGTGTGTGTGTGTGTGTGTGATATGTGTGAGTAGGTACACTCTTGTGCTCAGGTAAATGTGTATTCACATGCATATTCCTAAATCCCTGTCCACCATTCTTAGATAAGATCTCTGTGGTGGTTTGAATGAAAATGGCCCCCATAGGCTCATAGAGAATGACAGTATTTGAAAAGCTTAGAAAATGTGGCTTTGTTGAATTGGTGTGATCTTGTTGGAGGAAGTGTGTCACTGGGGTGGGCTTTGAGATTTCAGAAGTTCAAGCCAGTCCCAGTGGCTCTCTCTCCCTTCCTGCTGCCTGCAGATCTGGATGTAGAACTCTCAGCTACCTTTCCAGGATTGTGTCCTGTGCACTGCCATGCTTCCCACCATGATAATGATGGACTAAACCTCTGATGTTTTGCTTTATAAGAGCTTCTGCAGTCATAGTGTCCTCTCACAACAATAGAAACCCTAACTGAGACAATCCCTCATTGACCCACAGATCACTAGTTGATCTAAGCCAGCTGACCAGTAAGTTTCAGGCTTCCTTCCACCTGTCTCTGCCTACTAAGTGCTGGGATTGCAAACATTCACCATCTTCACATGGGTTCTGGACATCAAACTTGGTTCCTCATGCTTTAAGGCAAGCACTTCCTGACAGTGTCATTTCCATGACCTCCATATGCATTTTTCAATATTCTTGACAGTGAAGAACATTCCCAATGGAGCCTCATGGTTAGAATTCACAAGGTATATGATATTTGCTGACAAGGAAGCTGGGACCTACAGATGCCGATGGCCAATGCACAGCATTAGCTAGGGGCAGATTTGGAATCAGATTAAGTTAGTTTCCTCTATATCCATAAATCTTTATAAAGTGCAACTTTTCACACACACACACACACACACACACACACACACACACACACACACACACACACACACAAACACACACAAAACTGTTACTTCAGGATCATGGATGGCTGGTTGTTGGTTGCTTATATGTCCAACTTGTGTGCAATTATTACTAAGAGCAGTATCCTAGGGCTGGGCAAATGGCTCAGTGGTTAATAGCTTTTGCCTCTCTACCAGAGGACCTATGTTTGGTTCCCAGCACCCACATCAGGTGGCTCACAAATGCTCCTGACTCCAGCTCCAGGAGATCTGATGCTCTCTTCCAACCTCAGCAGGCACTTACACATAAATAAATAAATAAATAAATAAATAAATAAATAAATAAATAAATAAATAAGCCTCTATCAAGAAGGCAGAATCCTTATAAATTACTGGTTGTTTATTTTTATGCTAGAAAACTATTGCATGTAGTTAATAAGAGGGAGTTAGTACAGGACTCGGAGATAATATCCATGCAGGTCTAGCATATTTCTTAATAGATAAGAAAAGGGAAATAAAACTGCCCATCACTGCACAGCTCTGAGATAACTCTGTCCACATGTTGGCACATATCATTTTAGACCCGTCATTCATATGTTGTTTTTGCTATTTTATAAGACAGGTCATGATTTGTGTGATGGTTAATCCCAATTGTCAACTCGATGGGATTTAGAATTACCATGGCAACAAGCTGTTGGGCATATTCATGAGGTAGTTTCTAGACTAGGAGCTTGGAGATAGAAAAACACACCCTAGCTATGGGAGGCACCATTCGATGGTCTGGGGTCCTGGTCGAATAGAAAGGCCCCTCGAGCTCCTGCCTTCATGCCTCAAGCCATGATGAGCTATATCTTCAAACTATGAGTCAGAATAAACTCATCATTCTCTATGTTGCCTTTGTTGGGAAGCTTGACACAGCACTAAAAGTGATTAATTCTATCCCATGTCTGCTTTTCCATTTCTTAATATCCATTCAATATCCACAGATTGGATATTGAATTGTGGTAACAGGCAGATACACCCACAGAGCCAAAAATGACTGTGTGATGATACATGGATAGAATATATTAAAATGTATGTAATAGCATATTGTTCTTGGCTGTTTTGGGAAATCTGTGTGTTTGTAAAACAATAGTGAGAAAATAATATCCAACCCTAAGGCTTGTGGGACATTTAGATGGTAGAAGACTCAAGATCCTACAAGTCACTACAATGAGTTCTTCCCAGGGCAGAGGAGAGGCTCAGGTAACTATTTGACTTTCAAGCTTAAAGACTGGAGTTCAAATCCCCCAAACCCATGTAAAATACTGGGCAGGCATGGTGGCCTCCTGTAATTCCAACCTGAAAAGGTAGAGACATGGGATCCTCAGAGCAAGCTAGCTAGTATGACTTGCCATATCGGTGAGATCTGGGTTTGACTAAGAAACCCTGCCTCAATGTATAAGATAAAGGAGTGATCCAGGATAATTTCTGGCATCAACCTCAAACCTTCACAGATACATGTATCCACACATATGCAAACAGGTATATGCACATATAAAATGGAATAAATATCAATAAACTGTTTCCATTTTCAACCATGTTGCCACCTGGTTCCCTTGGTCGGGCTGGATCAGTGAGGCAGGACATGTTAATGGCCCCAATTAGTTTAGTTTAGTGGCAGGTGAGACCAGCGCTTTGATAGATGAGTGGTCAGGCTTCCTGGGCTGACTTTCTGGTTGGAAGTTGAGCACCACCAGATACAGAGACATTATTACTTGTGGGTCCTTGAGACTTCCCTGCCACCTCCAGGAGCAAGCAGATGTGAGATTTTCTGAGGGTAGCAGTCACTATTGAGTTTTCATCAGGAAAGAAAAATGAAGCCATCCATTTAAACAACAACAACAAAGGGAATGCCCAGGACAGCAACAGATGCAGAATGGAGCTGGGAAGCAAAGCGCCCAGATGTAGGTCAGGGTGAACTGGGTTTGTGTGAGCTGGCGATCAGACGTTAGCAAGAACTCGGGGCAACACCATTCAGTCAGTGGACAGAGGCAAGCAATGAATGGACTCTGGTGTTCTTATGGGGAAAAATAAGTACATCGAACCCCTTCTTCAAACAATCTCCAAGAAATAAATTGCTTGGCAAATTGTTCGCTTGAATGGAGGAAATCTCAGGGTGATCCAGAAATTCCTAAAACATTAGGTTTTCCTTATGCTACTGCAGTATTTAAGACGTAGGGATGTTTTTGCAATGTCGCCTTAGCATGCTTTTCAACCTGGCCTCAGCGGCTTTCTGTGGAGCTGAGCGTCTGCTCTCTGCCTGGGTTGTGATTTTTCATCTGCTCGGAAGTGTAAAGCTGGGCTGGAGGTATGGCTCAGCGGGCGAGGTGCTTGCCTATGTTGTGTGAGGCCCTCCAGCACGAAATAAACAAGGCATGAGGGTGCACACCTGTAGCCGCCGCATCTGGGAGGTAGGGGCAGGAGGGTCAGGAGTTCAAAATCATCCTCAGCTGTATATCAAGTTGAAGGGTAGCCTGCCTCAAAAAGAAAAGAAAAGAAACAGATGGATATCACAGTACTCACTGGAATCTCAGTTCTAAGGGCTGGAAAGGTGGTTCGGCAAGTAAGAGCACTGGCTGCTCTTCCAGAGGACCTGGGTTTGCTCAGCACCCATGGGGAAGTTCACAACTGTCTCTAACTCAAGTTCCAGGGGACCCAATGCCCTTTTCTGGTACATAGACATGCAGGCAGGCAAAACACTCATAAACATAAAATAAAATAGGTCAGGCGTGGTGTCACCTTTAATCCCAGCACTCTCGAGGCAGAGGCGGGTGGATCTTTGAGTTCGAGGACAGCCCGTCCCACATAGTGAGTTCCAGGCCAGCCAGAGCTACGTAATGAGACTCTGTCAATAATGTAATAATAGAATCTTAGTTCCTGATCATATGAACTGGATCGTTTCTTTATCTCTTTGAGTCTAAATACCCCAGTCTTATAACAGAGATAAAGGCATGTACATTTCACATTTGTACTAACAATTAAGATCAAATGAGATGCACAGAAAGTTCAACAGAGAACCTGTAATATGGACAGTCCTTCAGAATGGCAAGATTCCGCAGTTTTACAAAGTTTTATTCTGTGGCAGGTATTACAAGCATATAGATGTGTAAAGATATGCTCATCCCCACCAGAGAGCTGGAGTCCGGGTTGTGTGCAGACAGAGAAACCAGCTGTAGCAAACATTTGGGGGACAATGGTCCAAAGCCCTCCAGGGGTAAGCAGGGTGGCTTCACTGTGGAGGCAGCAACTGGAGGCTTTAAAGGATGAAAGGGACTTTTGAAGCAGGGTAAAAGAGTACAATGACACAGATAAGAAAGTAAAGGACTCAGCCGGGTGGCTCAATGGTTACTGTCAGTCTTAAGCTGCTTCGGATGGGCCAGTATAGCGGTAAGGTAGGACTGTGTTTATATACATGCATTTATAAATATTTTCAACAGGATCTAATTCAGACATCGCTGAAAGATTTAAACACTCCCCCTCAAGATCCCAGTAATAGCTGGGTATTGTGGTACACATTGTAATCCCCATACTTGATAGGCAGTGATAACTGGAGGATCAGGAGTTCAAAGTTATATTTGGTTCCCAAATGAGTTCCAGGCCAATTTGGGATACATGAGACCCTGTCTTTAAAAAAAAATCCAACTAAAATTAGCCCCCAACGCCCGGTGTCTTCACTTTGTTACAACCTGGCTTTGGGTCGATGGTTTTACCTGTTGCTTAACTAAAATGAGAACTGTACATTGAAATCTGTCCATTCGAGGGGGTATTATAGGAATCCTCTGGGGTAATGAAGGGTCAACTCAGAGACAGTCATCATGAGGACTTGAGAAGCATGCATTGCTGGGTTCTTCCCACAGAGACTGTCTGTCTGCCGGTACAGAGCTGTATCAATCACTTTTCCTGTTCCTAGGACAAAATACCCCAGCAAAGGCAACTGAAAGAAAGGGGGTCTGTTTAGCTCACAGTCTGAGGATACAGTCCATCGTGATGAGGAAGGCATGGTGGTGGGCGTTTGAGACAGCCCATCACATCGCATCCACAGTCGGGAAGCAGAGAACACTGAATGCTGGTGCTCATCTCCCTCATCCTTTCATTCCATCCAGGACCTCAGCTTCTGGGATGATGCCACTCACATTAAGGATGAACTCACCTTAATTAACCCAAAGTAGAACCTCCCTCAATGATACGTCCAGGGGTCTCTTTCCATGGTAATTCTAGATCTCATCAAGTTGATAATCAAAGTTAACTCTCCCTAGGACAGAATGCAGGACTTTGCACACCCTCTTAGCAACTCCCAAGTGGCATTGCTGTGGCTGGTTTAGAAACCACAATGATCCAGAAAACCTCTGCTTTACACCCAGGCGAATGTATTATTATTTTTACGGTATTATTGATAATTGCTCGAGGACAGCACCAGTGTTTAGAATGTTTCATTCCAGTTCTAACCAGCTTGTGGAGTTGAACAAATGGGAGACACAACACTGCCCCTTACAACCCCTGCTCTTCTGTAGCCCCGAGAGGCTTGCCCTGCAAGTGTGTGTGTGTGTCAATTTGACTGGCCTGTGTGTCGATCCTGGTCTCATTAGAGATGCATAAGGATGTTATCAGAATGAGTTAATGTGGGTCGTTGGAAGTAGACTGGGTCTTTTTCTGGTTTCATTTTTTTCTCAGTAATGAAGTCTAGTCTCCTAATGGGCTGTCCCTTTTCTTCTGCCACTTGATGTCCTTAGTGCATCCTCAGTGTGGTCGCACTTGCTCTTACACTTCGACAGTGACCTTTCCCAGTGTTCTCTAAGACCCTAAATGGGCTGGGCCTTCAATTAGTGTGAGAGAAGAGATACCTGTGCAAATTCAGCCAGATGCCTGCTGTGACATCTGATATGGGTTGTCGGAGCTGTTAGAATAAAGCTGAGAATGTGGTCTCTCTCCCTGGAGCACTCTGCATTACCCAGACCCCGATGCTGCCAGCTACCCTTACCTCACGGAGATTACAGCTGTCTCATAGGGCTATGTTCCCTCCATGCCACTTGCCTCCTACACCTTAGCTCCTGGCCTCTGTCTCACCTCACTGTGTCCTCTGAACTCTGCTCTTTGAACATTCCTGAAGACATGCTCACTCCAATCATGCAAAGAGTCACCTTCCCCCAGTCATTAAACATCTGAGTCTATTTGTTCTTTGAACGTGAGAGAACTGTATTCATACTGGTTCCTTCAGGCCACAAGGCTGGGAGACCCTCACTGGCCTCATCAGGAGTCACTTGACAATTGTCTTCAGTGTTTTGTGGGTGAGGCTGGCATTCCCTCAACCCATAAATCTGCTGTCTTTCTGTGAGAGTTCCCAAAGTAGTGTTCTAGGACCCTATTCACCCTGGGTGATGTGTTTTTGAAAGAAAGAAAGAAAACTGAGTTTGTGATTAGCATTGCAGAGACACGCAGAGAGAAACAGACAGAGATTGAGACTTTATACTAAAAAAGGAGTTTCTAGACTGGGGAGATGGCTCAATTGGTCAAGTACCCACCTTTAAAGGATCAGGACACGAGTTTTGATCTCCAGAACCACTGTAAAAACTAAGGCACTTGTAATCACTGAGGCCCAGGTCCCAGTGAGAACTTGTTTCAACAAATATGATTGTCAGTACCTGAGGAATGACAACTGAGGTTGACTGTCTAGGTGGGACCTCCATTTGTCTCGGTAGCGCCCACATTACTGATACCCGTTTACCATGTCTGAGCGAAGGGCTGCGGATTAATCCCCTTATAGTAATCAGCATACCTGGAAAACTTACTGACATCGTAGCCGTTCCTGGCGAACTTACTACCAACGTCACTGTTCCTGAAGAACTTACCGACGTCACCGTTCCTGGAGAACTTACTGACGTCACCATTACTGACGTCACCGCTCCGTGTGTTGAGTTCTGAATCCTCTTCGACCCCTCACCTGGTGTCCGAAGTTTCCTTCCCGGGTTTCGGCACCAGTTGCTGTCTAAAGTTACTTTCCCCGACAGGTTTCCAGTTGCGGCGCGCTCCTCGGCCAGCGAGGAAGAACGACCACCACGCGAGGATTCTTCTCAGATCACACTTTATTGGAGCGCCTCTTGGTTAAGGGAGAGCGGGAGGTGAGGGGCGGCTCTTGATTAGCGAGAAGTGAGGGGCGGCCCCGAGGACTAAACTGCAGCTGCTTATATAGGGAATCAGGCAAACGTGCCGTATTGTGATTGGGTCCCACCAGAATGCTAGCACGGGGAGCCACGGGATAGGCTGAGGACATAAGGCCAATTACCATACTCGTGCATCATAGCCAAATATGGAGTTGTTTACAGCTAGGCTACCAGGAAGCCAGCGCCATCTTTGAATGGCGGCTCCCTACAGTTGACCTCTGGCTCTAAACACACATATGCACATACACACCCCTAAGATGAACACGCGCGCGCACGCGCGCACGCACACACACACACACACACACACACACACACACACACACACACACACAAGGGGCTTTCTAGCTTCATCTTCATAACACACAAAGTCAAAAGGTGTGTCAGCCCTGGCACCTGCTGTCGAAGGCCATGCTGAAGACAGGCAGTGCCAGTGTGTCCACCTTCACAGAAGGCCCCCACACACCCTGCACTCATTCTGTGGTGGCCAGCTTGACTCACTCCTGTTACACGCTGGGCTGTAAACATGGTTGAATAGCCCTTGCTGTCCTTGACAGTTCAGAACTCTGTAGAGTTTGGGAGCTGGAGAATTGCTTTAGAGCAGTGACCACTCACTCACTCACTCACCCACTCACTCACTCACTTTCTTTCTTTCTTTGTCTTCTTTCTCTCTATGTCTGCCTTCTTTTCTCTCTCTTTCTTTCTTACTTCTTTTCTTCCTTTCTTTCATTGAAATTTAGAATTCCGTGTGTGTATACATACAACGTCTTTTGATCAAATTCGCCCTCCATTCCCATGCCTCCAGACCCTCTCCCATGTCCCCATCACTTTTCCCTCCCAACTTCACATGCTCTATCTGTTAAAAAATCCACTGTGTCCTCTCAGTACTGTGTGTATGGACATGGATGTATGGCCATCCACTGGAGCATGGGAAGCCTCTTAGGGGCCTGGGGAAAAAAACCTGACTCTCCTTCCCCTGACAGCTATCAATTGCCAATAGCAGGCGACCTCAATTAGGGATGGGACTTCCTAAGCCACTCCCCTGCCCACACTGGGATTTGGGCTGGCTCGATCTTATGCAGGTTTTGGGTGTGAGTCCCAGTCGCTCTGAGTTCTTGTGTGCAACAGCCCCATCCTGTTCAACAAATACTGTGTCACTGAAGATATCCACTACCTCTGGCTCTTGGAATCTTTCTATCCCCACTTTTGGGATGATCCCCGAGCCTTGGGGGAAGAGAGGGTGACACTGATGTCCCATTTAGAGCTAAGCACTCAACGGACACTTATTATCTGCATGTTGACTAGATATAGCTCTCTATTAATATCGATGAATACTAGAAAATGTGCTGGTCTGTGGTAAGAAGATAATAACTTGGGGGTCAGTTTAACACTATGTCTTTTTAGGAGAATAATAGTATTCGATTCTCCCTTAGGACCCAGCCATTGAGGATTTGGGCCTAGTTAGTGGTATCAGGCATGACTGGAGCTTGCCTTAAATCCAATCAGAAAGTGGGTAGGTGCTCCCATGACATCTGTACCACTGCTGGACCAGGTACCAGGCCAGTTGTTACTATAGCTCTCAGAGTTCACATCTGGGTAAGACTGCTGATGGCTTTTCTCCCCAGTAGGGTGCCTAGAGCCTTCCAGAACTGTGAAAGCTAGCCAGTAAGTGTGAAGCCTCCAGCTGGTACCAGCTTGATTTACTTTCAATTCCTGTGAATCAAGTATGTGCTCTCTTAAGCAATAGGGTCTTATCATCAAGTTCTGTAGGGTGACCAAGAGCAACAACAATAGCCTGTAATGTTATTTACAGGGGGTCTATAGGGACACTCTGATAATTTAGAAGCTAGTAGTAACCCATACTTGGAACTGGGTTTTTAGTTGATTTAGTTATAAAATGGAATAGTATTTTTAGTTGAATACTATTACATTGTGTATATGTAGCATATTTTCATTAGCCACTTATCACTTGATGGATATTTATCTAGGTTGTTTCTATTTCTTGGCTATTGTGAATAAAGCACCAATGAACATGGATAAGAAAGTGTCTCTATAGTAGGATAGAGTCCTTTAGAAATACGCCCAGGAGTAGCATAGCTGGATCATATGATAGATCTATTTCTAGCCTTCTCACAGGGGCATTCCAAACACTGCTGTGAGGGCTGAGGATGCACCTTAAAGGTAGAACACTTTCCTAGCACATCCAAGGCCCTGAGTTCTATAGCAAGCCCTGTAAGGAAACAAAACAAAGGGCCTCTTGACAGATACTGGTAAACACCAAAATCACACAACAGCTTCAACAAGGCCCCATACCAGACTGTACCCAGTGCCAACCTGAGTAAGGATGTCTAGGACCCACTGTATTTTTCTTAATTCCTCAGATTTCATGTACAGATACTACATTTAGAACTAGGATCTTAACAAAACTCTTCAAATTTTCTTGTGCCTACAGATCATGTGGGTATCTTCATAAGGTATAGATTCTGATTAAGTGGGTCAGCAATGGGGACTTCTTTTTGTGTTGTTGTTCTTTTTTTTATTTTACAATACAATTCAGTTCTACATATCAGCCACGGATTCCCTTGTTCTCCCCCTCCCGCCCCCCTCCCCTTCCCCCCAGCCCACCCACCATTCCAACCTCCTCCAGGGTAAAGCCTCCCCCGAGGACTGAGATCAACCTGGTAGACTCAGTCCAAGCAGGTCCAGTCCCCTCCTTCCAGGCCGAGCCTAGCAACCCTGCATAAGCCCCAGGTTTCAAACAGCCAACTCATGTAATGAGCACAGGACCCAGTCCCACTGCCTGGATGCCTCCCAAACAGATCAAGCCAATCAACTGTCTCACCCATTCAGAGGGCCTGATCCAGTTGGGGGCCCCTCAGCCATTGGTTCATAGTTCATGTGTTTCCATTCGTTTGGCTATTTGTCCCTGTGCTTTATCCAACCTTGGTTTCAACAACCCTCCTCTTTCTCGCTAATTAGACTCCCGTAGCTCCACCCGGGGCCTAGCCGTGGATCTCTACATCCAGATCCCTCAGTCGTTGGATGGGGTTTCTAGCATGACAATTAGGGTGTTTGGCCATCCCATCACCATAGTAGATCAATTCAGGCTGTCTCTCGACCAAGCAATGGGGACTTCTTATATATCAAATCTGTTGGTCTCAGTTGGCAAAGCAAAGTCAGAGAGTTTGGGGCCATGTCTGACTCATTGGCTTCAAGGAATGTCAGAATAATGCTTGCCTTGCTCTATTTATATATACTTATCTATGTATATATACATATGTATATATAGATCGATATATAGATATACATATAGATATATAAGCTTAGAATGAATTATTCCATTTTAGAATTTACTTGTGTAGGAGTGGGGGTAAATGTGACCTCACTTGCATATGGAGTTCAGATTCAACTTCCCACGTTCTACCTCAAGTGCCAGGTACCATCCACTTTATCTTTTGAGACAGGGTCTCTCATTTGCTGGGACCTTGCCAACTAGGCTACTCAATCCGCCCAGCAAGCCCCAGAAATACTGCTTGCCTGTGCTAACACAGAGCTGGGATTGCAAGAGCATGCGACTATGCCTGACTTTTTCATGTGGGTATTGAGGATTGAAATCAGGTCCTGATGTTTGCACAATAAGCACTACTGACTGAACCATCCCCCTGGACCTAGTATTTACTTTAGAAACACAGATGATATCAAAGATATTTCTATAAGAAAGTGGTGACATAGTATCCCCTCCCCCAATATTCACTTTGACATGGAACATCTTATGTAATGGAAAGGATTATGTTTCCAGCCAATGGAGCCTCATTTCACCTGGTGATACCCATGGGATTCTCTCTTTGTGTGTTGTGGTGTGAATTAGAGAAAGGTCTTCATTCATCCTCCCCCAGTGATGGCTTAAGATCACATAACTATGAAACAGAGCAGCCCATACACTGGAAGAAATACTTCCATCTGTCTATATAAGTGGTGGGCAACCCTGAGAGGGCTGTTGTTTGATTCTGTCCTAAGTCGTGATGCAGCCTCTTTGCAGGTGGAATGAAGCAGCCAGCCAGGTCTAACTGCCGAGTTATATGAGTGGACTGAGGCGGTAACTCTCTCAATGGCTTTTTAATTCGAGGCATGAAGTTGGAGAGGCGATGAAGAAACATTTCCAGGGCTAGAAATTTCCCTTCAGGCTGGTCATTTCTCTGAACTAAAAGGTTCACTATGGTGAACTCCTTCTTCTAGGTCCCCATTTCTTACAGTGACAGAGGGTGGAGGGATCCCACAGTCTCTGGTTCGTGTCCATTTCTAGGCTGTGTCCATGGATTCTGATCTTGGATGGGGCCCCAGGAGTGGTAATCAGAAACAACAGCCAAACCACTCAGATGATGTTGATGCCACTATAAAGAGATAGAGTATGCCCTTCTCTGCTGGGAGATGGCTCATTTTCTCATGAACCAGCCTAAGAACCAGCTAAAACTAGAATCTGCACCAGATTTCTGCCACACTTAGAAGGAGACTCTTGTGTGTTTTGTTGTAACAGAGGTCACCTAGGATGCACCAGTTCAGGACCTCTCCTTATCAATGACATGTCCATTTTCTCACCACAGAGTGTCAGCAAATGTGTCTCTTCCTCTTTTAATGTTTTATTTTATTGTTGTGTGTGTGTGTGTGTGTGTGTGTGAGA